TGGCTCGCATGGCCACCCAAGATGCAATGAAGCCTGGGATGTCAAGTAGTTGCCTTGAGGAAGGCAAAGGAGAGGAAGTTTGTGAATGGCTTCTCCACAGCAGATCCCTAGTGTCTGCACATTGCAGGGCTGGAGGATGACTACACAGTGCTTTCAAATTGTGCATACAATCTTGTTAAAATAAAGATTATGATTCAGTAGGTCTGGAATGGGCCTAAAATTCTGCATATCTGACAAACTCCCAGGTGATGCTCTATTAGTTAACTGTTACTGTGTAACAAACCTTCCCCAAACCTCACAGCTTAAAACAGCTCTTATCTGCTATTCATTCTTCAGGTGTCACCTAGAGTCACTCATAGAGCTGCAGGCACCTGGCAGATTTACTGAGATTTGACGGCCTAGGATAGCCTTGTTGACATGGGTGGTGGTTGATGCCAATTGTCAGCTGGGCCTCTCTTTCTAGGTGGCCATTCGTCCTCTAGCAGTGCTGCCCTGGCTTCTTCACATGGTAGTCCCGGGGTTCCAAGAAGGCGAGAAAAGACATAGTGAAGCCTCTTGACACTCAGGCTTCGAAGTCTCACAATATCATTTCTCCACAATTCATTAGTTAAAGCTAGTCCAGCCCAGATTCATGGGGCAAGGAAACAGACTCCACACCTCGGGGGAAGGAACAGCAAAGTCTCTTGCAGAGAGAGGTGCATATAGGGAAGGGAGGAGCTGTTGCAGCTCTCTTCGCTAACATTCCACCTCCGACATTGATGCTGCTCGTTTCTGGACCCTGTCTGAGTAGCAAAGATTCAGAACTGTGCTTCTCCACTTTGGCTGCATATTGGAATCACATGGGAGCTTTAAAAAGACTGATGCCTTCTGGGGATAAAGAGTTAGTCTGGACATGTCTTTTTAAAACCAGATGACCCTAAAGCACAGCCTAGGTTGAGAGCCACTGCTTGAGAAGTCTCTAGAATAATTCCCAAATATCCAGTGGAGTGCCAGGGCACATGGTGATGAGTACAAGAGGAGCTGGTTGGGGCTGGGAAGAATATTGATGAAATGCATTATGGATGTGTTGAGAGATCTCCTGGTGAAAAGATCAGCAGATAATTCAGGAAGATGAGTCTAGAATTCCAAGATTTGGGAGTTATGAATGAAGCAGTTACATTTGAAACAGGGTTACATGGAACCCTGGGGATGCATATAGTAGGCCTTGATGAGCAGTGAGTGCCTAGGAGTCAGGAATGGGGCTTTGGGTGGTAAGAAAGATGGCCAACACCTCCAGGTCAGTAGTCGTGGCCATGTCGATTCATCATTCAACCAGCATTTGTGAGTGCCATCAATGTGCCTGGTACAAGATTAAATGACCATGGAGTTGCTTCCAGGATCAGCTCTGAGAGCAAACAGGAAGTGTGTAACACCATGAATGTGCCCAGAGAGGTGTCTCAGAAGCATGGACGGCCTGGGACACACTTCCATGAGAGTAGGGGCCGCTTGTGGAAGAGGTTCCTCCCTTAGCCTCCTGTGCCTGACACATGGGGTCGGGTAAGGAGAAAGCTAGCATTTAACCTATTAGGGACTAGGCACTGTGCTAGCTTTAGACGCATTTTCACTGAGTGAAGCCAGAAGGAAAGCAATGTGGGGTAGTGATTAAGAACTTGATCTCTAGAGCTCAGTTAGCCTGGGTTCAAACCCCAGATCTGCTACTTATTGTGTGATTTGGAGCAAACTATTTTGTGATTTGGAGTCTCTCTGAACCTCAGTTTTTTCTGCTATACATTATTCTGGTGAGATCTCAACAAGTTAATCCACATCAGCACCTGAAGCATTCCCTAAGGTAAATCCCCAGTGAATGTTACCTTCCTTTGATGATCCTTACACTCCTCCCATAAAGCAGGTACCTGACTTACAGATAAGAAAACTGATGCTCAAAGAGGAAAATACCTGCCTGAAGGCCATGGCAGTTCAGGATGCAAACCATAGGCCATCCATGGTTGCACGGCTGCTCTCCTCCTCCCATCAGGTAGCAGAAGTGCAGGTGCTCCACTCTCCCCAACCCCCCTTTCCAAGGACAGGCCCTCCCAGCCAACACTCCACTTTCCTTCTAGGTTGCGTCAATGATCGAAAAAAACAACTGAGGCAGCTGTTCCGCTCCCTTCAAGGCCAGAAGAAAGCTTCCAGCTAATTCCAAGCCGCTGGGAGGAAAGCGACCCTGAGAGGTGCCTTGCCAGCCAGTCCTCTTCCCACTCCACTTCCAGCACAGAAACAGCTCAGAGCACGCGCCTCCCTCTGGCTCAGCTGCTGCTCGACCTGGGCCCTCTGGATTCCCCCACCTGACCCCTGTGCATCTTTGCACCAGGAGACAGCCAATGCCCTGGACTGGATGGGTTTTAACCTTAACAGGCTGGCTTGGCTAACAGGCCCAGAGTAAAAAGTCAGCGAGTTCTATCCCAGAGATCACATCTAATAAATGAGCACAGGCCTTACTCGAAATTACTGGACACCAGGCTTCGCTCAGGGGATGGCTGTTAGCTGCAGCCACGTCCTCCTGGCTTTCACCCTTTGATGTCTCTCAGGTCAGGGCTGAAACAGTCCTCCAAGAGCAAGGATTCGCAGGCTAGGGAACTTGTCTTAAGCTGTGCTTGCAAAGCAAGCACTTACTAGATTGTTTATTGGGGGTCTGGAGGACTGAGCCCTGTACATCTTCCTCTCCGTGCATGTCAGGGGAACTCATGCAGGTCTCTGGCAAAGGTTTACTTACCAAGTCATCTGGGTGACGAAGGTGCCTCTCTGGTCCTTCCCACTTGAGGTTGAGAGCTGAGCTTTTTAAACCAGAAAGCCTTGGCCTGGCAGGCAAGGAGATGGCTTAAGGAGTTGGGTGCAAGTAAAAATTTCTGCATTTTCCACACTCCTATGCCTCCTCTTGGTTTAAGAGGAGTTACAAGTGGGCTGGTGAGCTAACTGCTCCATGGGAGACCCATCACGGGACACCAGGCAGCTCCCTCCACCACTCTCCCTGCTTTCAGGACAGTTCTTTTGTCTGCAAATAACAGAATCTAACTACCCAGAGATGGGAAGGGCTTTTGGAAGGGAAATACTGGCAAATCCAAGTGAACCAATTAGCTTTGGGAAGGCCAGAAGCCAGCCACTCTGGGCCTCCTGCCTCCAGTGTGGTGACTTCCCTCCATCCCTGTGACTGAGGTAAGCCCAGACAGCCCCAGGCACAAGTTCCATCTTTCCAGCAGAATCCAACTGGCTCTTTTTGGCCTAGCATCTACCCTGCCAGATAGGTAGGGGCAATGTTCACATGGGGAAATTGTGAGTGAGGCTGTCATACCGGATAATATCTATCAAAGTGAATGTTGCTACTCCTACTTTCTAAATATATATTTAAAAATATTTAATATAACAGCAACATGTCCTTCCCTTCCACCCCGAACATGCAATTTCTGTTTCGAGGGAATCACATAATTAGTGATTGCATACAAATCACCAGCTTATTAGACACCTGTCCTGCCCCCTGATTTTCTCACTTAATCTTGGAGCTTGTTCCAAATCAGTGCTCAAAGAGCTTCCTTATTCTTTTTTTTTTTTTTTTTTTTTTTAACAGATCAGTTATTTAGTTAGGTTTTTCATAAGAAATGTAGAACACCAGTTTGTGAGGATAACGCCCATTTGGGAGAGCAAACAGAGCAAGTGGTAGCCCTGGAGCTGATTTTGGGCAGATTTGTGAGTCCCAGGGCTTTCTGATCAACCTCACTCTGCTCTGTGATCTCGTATTTCTCTTTCTGTGTCGAAGATCTCACCCTCCTGGTGTCTGCGCTTGCGCAGCTTCTCCTTGAAGTAAGCATCAGTGAGATGTTTGGGGATTTTCACACTACTGATACCAACTTTGGTGAAGGTGGCAATGACCAATTTCTGATGTGTACTACAGAGGAACTGAACTAAGGGACAGAGGTCCAGTCACAAGCCTCTGCTCCACTGCTCCAGGTAAACCACCTTCTGGCCTCTGTTGTACCTAGTGAGGACGACCAGAATGGTCCTGGGAGTGATGCAGGCCCGCGGTTTTCTCACATGCCGTGTCTTGCTCTGGCTCAACAGGGGCACATCTTCAGTAGAATAGTATCTAGACATCTTGCAAAGTTAACCACTTAAGTACCACCATTCTTGTCGCCAACTGGTTTTGTGACAATAGCAAGAACTTTCTCCTTTTTCTTTTCAATCCTGGATTTAGCTGTTGAACACTTCCTCTTGTACATGGCCTCTCAGGGAACACACAGGCAATCGGGAGTATCTGCCAATTCCTCTGACTAGGACAGGGTTTCGGCTGCAGTGAGCCTTCCCCTTCTTCGGTGTCTTGGCCTTGAGGTTACCCTTCTTAACCTTGCCACCACCATCAGCCTTCTTGGCTTCAGGTTTCTTCTGTTTTTTTTTCACCCGCCATCTTGCAAGATGGAAAAGAGAACTAAGAACTTCCTTATTCTTGATTGTAGCTGTGTAGTATCCCACTGCCTGGAGCTATCATTTCCTTTACTCTACTGTGAACATTTAGTTTAGTTTTGTTTTTTCATTTAGTTTCCAATTCCATGTCCCTACTCTTTGGGTCATCATGGAAAAAACACCTAGAAATTTCTACTAAAAAACTCAAGAGGATGCAAAATAGTAGTTCTGGGCCAAATTTGATTTATATAAGGTACTTTGTTTGGCCAACACCAGAGTTTAACATTTTTTTTCTTAATTAGTAATATTTAAGATTTAAAATCCAAATTGCTAGCTCCTCTTGAAAATGTAAGATGTGGCCATACCAGCCTGTGTTCCCATGTAACTATCGGCAGGAGCTGAGTGGAGCAAGGGGACAGCAGTGTGCCCTCTCCGATTCGCCATTTGTTGTCACTGCCTGTCTAATCCTATCATTTCAAGGAGGAACCCTGCCCTGCATAGGTGGTATCCTAAAGGAAGTGGTGTGCCCTCAATTAAGGACAAAATGAGGTAAAGATTAGAAGCTGCTGTTCATCCATTTAGGTAACCTTTATTGAGCTCTCAGTGAACAGGAACGACACCGTGCTGCCTTCACAGCACATTCACATTAGGACCTGAGACCAAGGGAAATCTGAGAGCAGCGCTGGCCCCGGCCCTGCTTCCAGAGGTGGTGGAGGGGCATCCTGGATGCATGAAGCATGGTAAGAGGCAGTCTCCTCACCCATCGCTGGTGCAGGACTCCGCAAGGCCTTCCTGATGAAAGAGCAGCTGCGGGGGGTTGGTAAGCAGCACCTACCTACTCTGGGCTCCATCTGGGAGCAAGCAGGAAAACAGGCCAAAATGGAACCAGTGGGGAGAAACGGTATGTCTGCTCCACAGAGAGTGTGGTGAACCACGAAGCACCAAGATTCTGTCCTTCATTCAGAAACTACCTGTGAGCCTCCTGCTCTATCCCAATTCTGTTACGCACGCTGCTTGAAAATGTGTGTCTCCCTTTCTGAGAGGAATGCTGGAATGAAGCTCCCACTCTTCCCTCTCCCTTCTTCCCTGCCCAGGGCCCATTTAAACAGCAGGCCACTGTTGAGAAGTGTCTGTTGCAGTCATTCTCATACCCCCACAGGCGCTGCCCTCACCCACCCACTGGTGGCTGCCAGGCCTGTCAATGGGTCTTGTGTCCATTCAGCCCCAGTGGTCAGGCCCTGCAGACACTGGCGGGCTGAGGGTTCCCTCCTGCTGTCACAGAGCAGTCAAGTGCTACAGATAGAGAGGCTGCATCCAGGAGCCATGGCCAGATTGCTAATGCCTGTGCCCAGTGCAGGCTAGATCCTGTCCTTACAGGTTTCAAGGTTGGAGAGTTCTGGGTCCTATATGACTCCGGTGTGGGGTGGGGGGGATCCTGGTCTTAGGTCCCCTATCTTGGTTCTTGAATTTCATCCTTTCAAGATGACCTTGAGAGCTTTAAGTTCATCCTGGTTGAGGGGGGTCAGGTTAAAGCCCTTCAGCTCCGGTTTGCCTAGGGGGAGAAGACAATCCATCAGCGCATTTGGGCCTCCTGCCGTGCAACCTACTGGCCCTGGAGTCAGGCCTGGGAAAGGAGCTGACACTGCATTCAAACAGCCAAACACTTGGCTTTGAGGACTGACAGGGAAGAGCCTCAAATCTGCAATGTACTAAATAATGGACATTAACACCCGCTACTAAGTCACTAAGAACTTGGAAAATCATGACTCTCATGCTCAGAAACCTCCAGATTTCTGCCGTATCTGTGACTGATCTGAAGTGGTTAGGTTTACCTAGAAATTCAGCTTCTGAGTCGGAGCTATACTGGTCCTCACGCCATACCATGGCATAAACCATAAGATACCTCAGCCACTCCTAGAGCCTGGAAAAGAACCTGTGATAGGAAGAAGACCCTACAAACATCCTTGTCCATTCTATCTCGGGACCACTACAGACAACCACTGCCCACTGCCCACTGCCCACAGCTTCAGTGCCCCTCACACGCTGTTCAGGCCATTGCCACCTAGAAGGGGCTTTCCTACTCTGCCCTCTAAGTCTGTGTTGATGGTTCTGTACCCTCTGGGTTTCCTGCCCTCCCCAACCTGCCCAGGCTAATACCTTGGGCCTCAAAGAGGCGGTTGACCTTCACTTTAAGTTGTTTCCGGAGTTTCTCTATTTCTTTATCCAGATGATCCTGATCTGAAAAATGAGGTGGGCAAACAGATGAGATTATACTATAGACAGAATGACCCAAAGGGAGTCAGGGATGCCAGCCTCTCCCTAGCCCCTTTGAGAGCAAGGGCTCTCAGCATTCAGGAAGGAAAAGGACTTCAGAGACCTATTAAGGAAGTAACCAAAGGCTAGAGAAGCAACATGACCTGCACATAACCCTGAGTGAGCCCGGGATGGGGCTGAGCAGACCAGCCCCCTGACTCTCAGTCTCCTGTCCTGTTTTCATTATGCAAAGTACTCTGGGCTGGTCAATGCACAGGGAAGGCAACATTAGGATGTTAGGTCACCCTCCCAAGTGAAATTAAGAGAAGATTCAATTGAAAGAATACAATAAAGAACCTACACCCAATCTACCCTAAGATGACTGGAAAATGGGTGGCGAACGAATTTTATAAACCCAAGTCCATCAGGGGGTTTTTAGAAAAGCATGATGTGGTAACATGAGACCTAAACAATCAACGGGCAAGCTGAATGCTCAAGCTTAACCTAATTAGCCTTAGTGAACAGAAAAGGTTATCTTACCTTAACAGACTGCACCTGGAAGCAAACTGCACCATGAGAAGTGGAAACTACTCAAGTCAATGATGCAACTGACTAATGTCACCCAACCCCCTCCACCTGCTCCATTTTCACTTGCTCACAAGGGACAACCTTTTTTTTTTTTTGGTACGTGTCCCCTAGCGGGAACTGAACCCAGAACTCTCTGGTCCGCAGGCCGATGCTCCAACTGAGCCAAACCGGCGAGGGCTTTTTTTTATATTTTAATTTTTATTTATTTTATTTTTATCCTCACCCAAGGACATTTTTCTATCTTTTGTTCAGACAGAGTGGGAGGGAGAGCATCGAAGGAAGAGAGAGAAACATCGACATGAAAAGGACACATCGAGTGGCTGCCTCCTGCACGACCCAACCGGGGCTGGGGACAAACTGCAACAGAGGTGTGTGCCCTTAGCAGGCACTGAACCCAGGCTCTCTGGACCGCAGACCAATGCTCTAACTGCTGAGCCAAACTGGCCAGGACAAGGAACATTCTAGCTAGTTTGTCTTCCCCACAACTTTCATTCTTCCTGATGAGGAGAAAAGATCTTGACCAGCTGAGCCTCTGGCCTAGGCAATGGTTTGCTCAATGTAAAAGAGTAACCCATCTCTTATGGGCTAGTTTAGCTTGTGTCAATATCTGAGAACCACAGATAATGATGTCCCAGACCCGCTCTAAGTACAGTGACATGACCACATTTATGGACCAAGAAAGCTGAGGACCAGATCCTGAACCCAGGCAAGCAACCCCCTCGGAAAGCAGCCTCCAGCCCACCACCCAAGTGCAATGACAATTCAATTTTATAACCATAATGTTTGTGTATGTTTTTCAACAGGACAGCCAGAAACTTCTCTTCCAAGCTAATCTAGTTTCCTTTACTAGACTTTTTATTTCAACAGGGATGGAAACACCCTATCTTCAGGGATGGAGCCAACCTTGCTGGACCTCTTGACCATACATTTAGAAAATGTAGAAAAGAGAAAATATGTATAACCTGCCCTTTTCCCAGCCAAAGACCCATTTGCAGCCTGACTGTTTGTCTTTATGATGTGTCTCCAAAGAACTTTGGGAATTGTGGTCATATATATTTAAGAAACATTGTTGAATAGCCGGGCTATGGCAGACCCTAGAGTTCATCCTCCCCAAGCCCCCATTTTCAACCCAGTCTCTCTTGTAGAGGATGTGAAAAATAAAAGCTGACTATGCCAGGCTCTCTGGAAGCTTTGGTGGCCATGTGACTTAGTTCTTGCCATTGAGGTGTCAGCAGAAGTCCCTGAGGAGTACAGTCTAATTTCCAAAATAGAAGGCAAGGCCATATATGGAGAAAGCCCTTTGCCTTTCCTCCAGCCTGGCACGTGGACATGAGGCCTGCAATGATGACACAACCACCATGAGAATATGCTAAGGTGACACTGCTGAGCAGCAGTGCCAGTCTTGGGTGGCTGACTCGGACCAACTCTTAGATGAGAAAAACAGAACCAAATTTTCTTAAGCCTCAATTTGTTTTCTGTTATTTGTGGTCCAGCTTGTTCCACACTGATGAGCATTATGCTATGAACACATACTGTTTTCTCTCAACTTCAAAACAACTATGCTACAGAGATGAAACCCCTCCCCCCTTTAGAGATGATGAAACAAGTCATAGTGGCAGAGCAGAGATTGAAACTCACATTAATCTAAACCCTTTAACCTGGGTGCCTCTCATCAAGCTGCCCAAAGCCTGACTCTCAGGTTTGTTAAGACTAAGACTGGTATAGGAGGCAGCTGTGTCCCTGCCCCGTGCCCAGGAGGCCTTACCTTTCTCAATCATTTCCTTTGTCTGAGGGTGAGGCATCTTGATAAACATGTTCCCAAAGCAAACCATCACATCTTCTGAAATGGAAAACGGTCATTCCTTCAACAAATATTTTTGAGCACCTACTATGTGCTAGGCATTGTTTTAGATGCTGAAAACACCACAGAACAAGACAGAGTTCTTGCACTCATATAGCTTAAGTTATAGTGGAGGAGGGGGAATAAACAAGCAAAGGTTTCATTTTTCTGACCCTGACAAGTCTAACTACTGTAGAGAAAAATAAAGCAGGGTTAAGGGGATAGGAAATGCCGCAGCAGGAGAGACTTGTTATTCATACCTAGTGGTCTGAAATGGCTGACATCTGGACAGAGATTTTAAGAAAGTAAGGGTGTGAGCCCTGCAGCAAAAAGCAGTAATGTGCTTGGGGTGTTAGGAGCTGCAAGGAGGCCAGTAAGGATAGAGTCAGTGAGGGGGAGAATAGAGATGATGTTGGAGAGGGCAAGGGAATCTGGATTACACGGGGTCTTGCAGGACTCTAGAGTTTACTCTAGTGAGATGAAAAAGACCTGGAAGGTTTTAGACTTTCCAATGCACTTGAAATAAAATTCAACCTACTTTCCTTCATTATGGCCTGGGCTGTGTCCACCTTTCCAGCCTCATCACATGCCCTACCCTCCTTGCTTATTCTGTCGCAGCCACTTGGCCTCTAAGAGCCCCCATCTCATTTTCTGACACCTATCTCATGCCTAGTCCCTTCAGCTTTCTCACGATTTTCAAGTATGTACTTATGTTGTTCTACTCATTTGTAGAACACGAGGGCAGGAACCACACTGCTTTTATACCCCCTAGCACTTTCCCAGTGCCATCAGTGTAAGCCAACACCTAATGGCCTGTTATGGAGGTGAGAGCTGAAACCCTGAGCCACAGTTTGTGTCAGACCTGTGACATTTTCTCTCCTATCCCCACAGGCTGTGTCACATGCCTGTAGCCTCCTGCCTGGTTTCTATTAGGAACAAGGCAAAGGCCTTAGAAGGAAAACTGAACAGGCCCTCTGGGCAATACTGAGGAAGTCTTGACTTACCAGAGAGGCTGAGATCTTTCTGCAGGGCCCTCAGGCCCTCTCGGTTCTGATTCCTTTTGGCGTCCAGGTCCACAATCTGAAAACCATAGGAGCAGGAGGGAACTCAGCTACTTCTTGCCCCAGCCTGTCACCTGCCAACAGACCCACCTCTCTCCTAAAACCTAACAGAGACAACAAGGCATCATTCCTGGGTTACTTCCAGGAATGGCCTCTGTCCACCTTTCCAGCCTCATCACGTGCCCTTCCCCCCTTGCTAAAATAGACTGATGTAGCCCGGCCGATGTGACTCAGTGGTTGAGAGTTAACCCATGCACCAAGAAGTCACTGGTTCGATTCTTGGTTGGGGCACATGCCCAGGGTTGTGGGCTCGATCCCCAGTGAGGGGCATACAGGAGGCAGCTGATCAAATGGTTCTCTGTCACAACGATGTTTCTATCTCTTTCTCCTTCTCCCTTCCTCTCTCACTGAAAATCAATAAAAACATATTTAAAAAATAAAATAAAATGGACTGATGCGTGAGTGTATTTCTTCCCCCACCCAGCTTCCAGGTCCTTAAAGACCATATGTTGTGCAGGTGTTTCCCCCCCAGAGAAGGTGCTGGGAAAACGCTGACTAAACAGATAATTTTTTATTATCCACTCGAGCGCTGGTTCTCAAGCTTTAGGGCATTTCAGAATCACCAGAGAGTAGAAACCTCTCCCTGGGTAAGCCCCTCCAGCTGACCCTGACCTAGGATCATGAGAAGCCCAATAATACCAGACCGGAACAGAAGGGGCGGGGCACTGGGATGGTGGTGACAACACAGCAGCTACTAAAGAAGTGAAGAGGGAGTACAATACGGATGCTGCTTTAGAGCCAGAATACCCAGGTTTGAATCTTGCTGCCCACTATGAACCGTGCGATTTCATCTTCCTAGTTACCTCTCTGAAAATCGGAGATATGAACAGTACCTACCTCACAGGTTATTGAGCCAGGAATGAAATGTGTTATTGGCGCAGTATCTGACACATGGTAAGTACTCACAAATGAACTATTATTATCGTGGCTCAGCACACTGATGCTGTGTTTAACAGGCTCTCCCTCAAGTCTTCCCCTTCTCAGTAAATCGCTGACGGACCAACCATCCAACCATTCTAACTGAAGATGAGTCATGAATCATTCTTGACTCCTCCTGCTCCTTCGCCCCTTATTATGTAACCACCAAGATCTACTAAGCCCATCTCCAAAATATATTTCTGACCCACCCACTGTCTCCATCACCACCACCCCAGTCCAAACCCATCCCTCTCCTGGGCTGGCCCCCTGCAATCCTGTATTTACTCTGCTCCAGAGCAGCGGGAGGGATCCTTTTAAAACCTAAATCCAATTACCTCACCCTTTGCCCCCCACCTCCACCCAACTTCCTTCAAACCCTTGGCACCTAATTAGAATCAGACCCCAGCTCCCTGCCCAGGTCTACGAGTCCGCCACGCCCCGGGTCCGAGTCCTCCCACATCCCCACCCCCGCGCAGTCCCAGGCCACTAAGACCTCTTTTCTGTCCCTCTTCTCCCCTCCGGGCCCTGACTGGGACGGCAGAGCCCAGGTCAGTGAGGGAGCCCAGGAACCGCCTTTTGAAAAAAGGGTTCTGGTAAACTGCCCCGAAGGTAACGGTTCGGGGTCCGGATGGTACAGTGAAGAGCAAAGGAGGGATGGAGAGACAGGATGGCTAGCAAGAGCAGGCGCTCCCGGAGTGCGTGCTGGGCAAATGGGTGCGGCGCCGCTCAATCTGCCATGTTTGTCGTCACGGCCATCAGACCACCGGCCCGGTAAGCTGACTGCCCGCGGGGCGGGAGCCAGATTCCGGACCCTGCGCACTTCCCTGCGGCGCTCACCACCAGGCCTAACAGCTGCACCCGGGCCCCTGCGCGGCGGACGCGCCTCCCACCTGCCGTTTGTCCGCCAGCACCGCCTCGGCCAGCTCCTCCACTTCCACCAGGTACTGCAGCACCCGCTCCGCCTCGGGGGACAGCATGGTGCCCCTCAGCCCCGACTCCACTCCGGCTCAAGCTTCTCGGAGGCTCCGCGTGCGCACGCGCCGCTCTGACAGGGCTTCCGGCGCGCATGCTCAATTAAAAGAGGGACGGCGGCGCCCAACCTCCAACGCACGCGCGTCTGCTGGGCGCGAGAGGCAGGGCCTATTTTGGGGGGCAGGGTTGGAGCGCCCCCTGCAGGCCCAGAGAGCGCAGTCCTCAGTGAGGCCTTTTACACCATCCCTTCCTCTTCTTGTGTTTCTTTTTGTTGTTCAGATAGAGTAGGAGGGGGAGAGAGACACACACACATCGATGAGTGGTGGTGGCACGACCCAACCAGGGCGGGGGACAAACTACAACCAAACCCGGGTCTCTCTGGACCACAGGCCGTCGCTCTAACCGCCGAGCCAAACTGGCCAGGGCAGTCTTCATATATTTCTTAAGCACCCTCTATGTGTCCGGCAGTTTTAGGAAAGAGAATGCAGCAGTGCACAAAACAAAGTTCTTGCCCTCATGAAACTCCATTCTAGTGGGAAAAGCCAATAATTAATAACCAAAAAAATAATGATATACTATGGCTGGCAGAGATAGGGCTGGTGAAATATAAGTCACTCTTTCCCTATTGGAGGAACACCAAGGAAGTTCACGTGGCGGTGTGACTTATATTTAACCACTGATACCTCAAGTTATCAATTTATAAAATGGGGGTGAATAAAAATGTCATTGTCTGCAGGATCGAAAGAGATAGGAATCATTTTTATTTATTTTTTAAATATGCTTTTATTGATTTTTTAAAATGAGAGAGAGATAGAAACATTAGTTAGCTGCCTCCTGCACGCCCCCTAGGGGGACTTGAGCCCTCAACCCTGGCATGTGCCCTGACAGAGGATCTAACCGGGACCTCTCAGTCCATGGGACGATGCTCACTCAGTCCCTTGAGCCACACCGGCCAGGCGAGACAGGATCATTTTTAAATTCAGTTTGATCAGTGTTTATTGAGCCCCAGTGTTGGGCCCAATGTCCGGAGTAGTTGACCTAGACTCAAGGAAGTGGCTAGAAAACTTTGGGCAGTGAGCAATGACGTTCTCTAAGTGCTAGAAAGCAAATCTATGTGAGCCATAGAATCTAGGATGACCTCCAAGATAAGGCAGGCAGGTAGAAAGTGGGTGCCCTTTACAACCAGAGGCTTCCCTAGAGATCATGCCCAAACCCTCATTGTACAGCTGGAAAAACCAAGGCTCAGAGAGCAGCTAGGACTAGAACTCTGACCTCCTGGCTCCCTGAGTCCAGCTGTTTTTTTTTTTTTATCCTCACCTGAGGACATTTTTCCATTTTTTGTTTTATTTTTTCTTTTTCTTTTGTCGTTTTTTTTTTGTTTGTTTGTTTTCATTTTTCTATTTTTTGTTCAGAGAGAGAGAGAAACATCTATGTGAAAGGGACACGAGTGGCCGCCACCCGCACAATCCAACCAGGGCCGGGGACAAACTGCAACCAGGGTATGTGTCCCTAGTGGGAACCAAACCCAGATCTCTCTGGACCACAGGCCGATGCTCTCACCACTGAGCCAAACCAGCCAGGGCCCTGAGTCCAGCTTTTTATTCTCTCCTTTTGGCCCCTGGGACCAAGCTCTTTCACACTCCTTGCCTTGCCTTACTTGAATTTCACAACCTTTGTTTGGGTGGGTTGTTTCTGCCCCATTTCACAGCTGCAGACAGGCTTTCTGAAGGGCAATGCCTTGTCACAAAGAAAGTCAGGAGCAAACACGGGTCTAGAATCTCTCTGGTCTTCATACCACAGCTGTCTCTAAACCCTGAAAAAAGCCCTTTCTGAAACTGTGGCCACATATGTCTCAGTGGCACCTCCTCTTTGTCTGGCCTTTGGCTGCCTTTGACTGCCAGAGGCAGAGCTAGTTTTCCCTGCAGCTGCCTGATCTCACGGGGAAAAGGAGATTCATTAAGGATTTTTCATTAAGGGTGAATTTGCCACCAAACCCGGGATGTTTTGTGTAAACACCTTCTGGTTCAGAAACACAGGCACAAGCCCTGGGAAGGAAGGGGGAAAGATTTACCATAGAAAAAACAGGGCTCAGCAGGCACCCCAGGGGCTGGACCCCAGAACTGAGTCTCCTCCACCATGAGGCTCAGAGAGAGCTGGATCAGGCCAACCACTGACCCCTGTCAGGTGGCCCTGGATGGAGAAAGGTTGAGTTGAGGGAGGCTTCCAAATTGGCAGCTTATTGGCTGTGACTGGCCCTTAGAGGGTACTCTTGCCACTGGAAGTGTTGGGGAAATCATATCCAAGACCGAGATAATCAGACCTGGAAGGACTCTTGTTTCAGAACCACTTCTATTTTTAGAACCATCAATTTCACAAATATTTATTGACTACCTTGGACCTGTTTTAGGGATTCTGCCATGAGCAAAACCAGTCATGATCCTTGCCCTCAGAAGCTTCCAGTCTAGTGGGAGAGACAGACAATAAATATATGAACAAGTAAACATATCAAGTGATGATAAATACTCTGGAGAACAACAGAGCAGGGCAAGGTGGGGAGGAAATGATGGGGTGGGGCTATTTGAGATAAAGTGGTCTGAAGAGGTGTCATTCAAGCAGAGAAATGGAGGAGATGAGGGGGTGAGTCATGTGGATATCTGGGGGAAGAGCATTCTAGACAGAGGGCACAGAATACAAATGCCCTAGAAGTTGGAAGAACAGCAAAGCCAGTGTAGGTGGAACTGAATGAGCACGGGGGAGAAGGTAGGAGATAAGGTCAGAAAGGGGAAGGAGGCATTGAACATGTGGGATTATAGCAGGGGCTGTAGATGCCCTGCCCAAATCAGCAAAGTCCTCCCCAGAGGCCGCATGCAGACACTGCTGCACATGCCTGTGGCTTCCTGCTTCCCTCTGCTCATGGGTGCAGGTTGAATAGGGAATACAGTGAGTTATGCCCACAGGAGTGGCCCTCAACCAAGAAGAGAGGAGTTAGTGGCTACACAACCCAGCTTCTTTGCTCCTCTGTGGGAGACCCAAGAGGAGACAGCCACATCATCCAGGTAAGATAGGATGGTCACTGGACCAGAGGTAGCAGTGGGGATGGTGAGCACTGGTGGGATTCTCAGGGACTTTGCATACACTCCACCATGCTGGATTAATTTTTTTCCACACTTTTGAATCTTTGTGGCTACTATATATCTCCTACTTATCAGCTTGGTGTCACCTCCTCCCACAGGTCAAGAGTCCCCTCTGGCCTTCACAGCTTCCCCATCACTGCACTTACCACCTTTTTTCTCTTGTCATCTCCCTGTCCAGTCAGGAGCTCCTCAAGGCAGGGACCTTGTCTGTCTTGTTTGCTGCTGTGTCGCCAGAACCTAGAATAGTGCCTGACACACAGCAGGTGCTCAGTCAATGTTTACTGAATGAGTGAGTGGACTCAACATGAAGCAGAACTTTCTATTATCCAAAGTATCCAAAGGTGAACAGAGCTAACTCAAGGATCAGTAGTTCCCCACTGTGAAAGTATGTAAGTCTAGACTGCCATTTGGTCGGGATACTGCAGAGGGTGAATCCCTTTGCAGTCCTGGATGGGACTGATGCCTCTAGGTCTTTTGTTTTGTTTTTTATCATCCTCACCCGAGGACATTTTTCCATTTTCTGTTCAGGTAGAGTGGGAGGGAGAGAGAGAGAGAGAGAAACATCGATGTGAAAGGGACACATCGAGTGGTCGCCACCCGCACAACCAACCAGGGCCGGGGACAAACTGCAACCGAGGTACGTGCCCTTAGCGGGAACCGAACCCGGGTCTCTCCGGACCGCAGGCCGACGCTCCAACCGCTGAGCCAAACCGGCCAGGGCCCTCTAGGTCTTTTCTAACCAGATGAACTCTATCCAGTCACACTGGGGAATGCCCCCCCCCCCATCTTTAGCCACCCCCTCGCACAGGCCAAAAGGGCTCTGGCTGCTGGGGCTTTGGTGTTTGGGAACTGGTGCCAACAAGAATGATGTTTCGGCCTGGCCAGTGTGGCTCAGTGGTTGAGTGTCAACCCATGTATCAAGAGGTCGCTGGTTTGATTCCTGGTCAGAGCACATGCCCTGGTTGTGGGCCCAATCCCCAGTGTGGGGCATGCAGGAGGCAGCCAATCGATGTTCTCTCATCAATGGTTCTATCTCTCTCTCCCTCTCCTTCCCCTCTCTCTAAAATTAAAAAAAAAAATTTTTTTTAAAGAATGATGCTTCACCATTCCCCTTGGACCTCTTACCATTTCTGTGAGTCTCCCTTGGGTAAGTGTTCAGTGACCAGCACCTGCTCCTCTCCTTGGGGAGGACTGCCCTCAGGTTTCTGGAGCCTCCTGGGTGACTAACCCTCCCCACAAGCTGTATCCTATCATTTCAGGAATTTGAAAGCCCACCTTCCTTGCCTGGGCTGCTGGTAAGGGTGGGGGTGGATAACTCCCAGGTATAATTACACTCCAGAGTTCCCCTGTGGGATCAGGCTGAAGCAGCCACCCACAAGACATCCACAAGCCCTGCTTGGCTTCCTCTCCTTCCTGGTCTGCCTCTCCCACTCCCTTATGCTCAAAACCCTCCAACGCTCCCATCTCACTTAGTAAAAGCCAAACTCTTCACCGAGTCCCACAAGGCCCCACATAAGGTGTCCTACCTCTCTGAGGCATCTCCCACCCCTCTCCCCACCTCCTTGCTGTTCCTCACACATACCAGGTGCAGTCCCACCTCAGGGCCTTTGCACTGGCTGCTCCCTCTGCCTGCACTTTCTCCTGATGTCTACATGTCTCCTTCCTTCACTTCCTACAAGTCTTTGCTTAAATTTCACCTTCTCAGTGAGGTTTACCCTTACCACCCGATTTTGTTTTATTTTATTTATTTATTTATTCCTCACCTGAAGACATTTTTGCATTTATCTTCAGATAGAGCGGGAGGGAGAAAGGGAGGGAGAGAGAGAGAGAGAGAAACATCGACATGAGAGAGACATGTCGACATAAGAGAGACACATCAACTGGTTACCAGCCACACAACCCCAACCGGGGCTGGGGACAAACTGCA